AGGCATGTGCCACCACACCTGGCTAATTTTTTTTGTATTTTCAGCAGAGACGGGGTTTCTTCATGTTGGTCAGGCTGGTGTCCAACTCCCAACCTCAGGTGATCCTCCCGCCTTGACCTCCCAAAGTACTGGGATTACAGGTGTGACCTACTATGCCTGGCCCAAATATTTTTAAAATGTACATATATTAATAGAGCATTCTTGAATGGTCTAGAGATAGAGATCATTGGAAAAAGAAGTCAAGAATGAGTGCGTGAGCAGGAATTTCTGATGTTACAGAAAAATAAAAAATAAAAATAAAGAATAAATGTGGTAGTTACTGTAAGAATAGAAATAATTGATCAAAAATCAGCTAGAATTTCCTCTTGGGTGACATTATATAGTAACATTTTAAATTTAATATATTAAGGTCACTCGAGGTGGCTTAAGAGTTCGACACCAGCCTAGCCAACGTGGCAAAACCCCGTCTTTAATAAAAATACAAAACACAGACAGCGTGGTGGTAAGTGTCTGTAATCCCAGCTACTTGGGAGGCTGAGACACGAGAATGTCTTGAACCTAGGAGGCAGAGGCAGCAGTGAGCCGAGATGACACCACTGCACTCCAGCTTGGGCAACAGAGCGAGATTCTGTCTCATAAATAAATAAATAAATGTGATATATTACTATTTTACAGTGTTCTGCCACCTCAGCAATGTTTGAGAATTACTGGAACCTTAAAGGATACAACAAATTCACCCCTAGGTATTTATGACCTAATAGAGCCACCTCTACAACTGATATTGGTAGTCTGAAAACATAGTTGGCCAGGTGTGGTGGCTCACACCTGTAATCTCAGCACTTTTGGAGGCCGAGGCAGGAGAATGACATGAACCTAGGAGTTCCAGACCAGCCTGGGCAACATAGCAAGATTCCATTTCTTTTTTTGAGACAGTAGGTGCCTGCTACCATGTCTGGCTAATTTTTGCATTTTTTTAGTAGAGATGGGGTTTCACCATGTTGGCCAGGCTAGTTTTGAACTCCTGACCTCAGGTGATCTGCCTGCCTTGACCTCCCAAAGTATAGGGATTACAGGTGTGAGCCACTAAGCCCAGCTAGCAAGACCCCATTTCTATAATCATAATCATAAAAGAAAATTTTAGGCCGGGCTTGGTGATCACAAGGTCAGGAGATTGAGACCATCCTGGCCAATGTGGTGAAACCCCGTCTCTACTAAAATACAAGAAACTAGCCGGGCGTGGTGGTGCACGCCTGTAGTCCCAGCTACTCAGGAGGCTGAGGCAGGGGAATTGCGTGAACCCAGGAAGAGGAGGTTGCAGTAAGCCGAGATCACACCACTGCATTCCAGCTTGGGCAACAGAGCAGGACTCTGACCAAAAAAAAAAAAAAAAAAAAAAAAATTTTTAAAAAGCAAAGCTTGTTTATTCCCAGGAACAGGTGTGGAGCTCCAGGCTGTGTGACTGTAGCAAGGGCCATTTTTAGCCTTCTCAGTGTCATTTAAGTGAAGAAATCATCTATGCAGAAAGCTGTCACTGGTAAGACACTTTTGTGAGTCTTTAACCCTGTTTCTACTGCTCTTTTAAGGTGAATATGCAGGTTTTGATGAGACGCAGCCAACAGCCGAATCTGGTGGAAAAGGAAAAGTGATTAAACTTTTAAAGGAAGAGTTTCATTTTAAGAAAATCATCATGGTTGGAGATGGAGCCACAGACATGGAAGCCTGTCCTCCTGCTGTATGTATGAAGGGTGCTAATTTTTTTTCAGGTTGTACTTTTGTTTTATCTATCTATCTATTTATTTATTTTGAGACAGAGTTTTGCTCTTGTTGCCCAGGCTGGAGTGCAATGGTGCCATCTTGGCTCATGGCAACCTCTGCCTCCTGAGTTTTCAAGCAATTCTTGTGCCTCATCCTCCCCAGTAGTTTGGATTACAGGCAGCCACCACCACACCCAGCCAATTTTTGGATTTTTAGTACAGACAGGGTTTCACCATGTAGGCCACGCTGCTCTCCAACTCCTGACCTCAGATGATCCGCCCACCTCGGCCTCCCAAAGTGCTGGGATTACAGGCATGAGCTCCCACAGCCAGCCGTGCTTTTGTTTTAGACAGCTCATTTATCCTGTAATCCCAGCACTTTGGGAGGCCAAGGCAGGAAGATCGCTTGAGCACAGAAGTTTGAGACCAACCTAGGCAACATATTGAGACCCCATCTCTACAAAATAAATAAATAAGATAAACTAAAATAGTAGATTTAGAACTACATAAGATTTAAAACAGGAGTTAAAAACAACTCTCTTTACAAGATAAGAAATGAAATAATAAAAACAAATTCAAACTTGTCATGTCAGCTGACTTTATACAAACCCAAGAAAAGTTATGAATAAGGAACTAAAATCTTTTAAAACTTGTAACAATGCCTTATCCCTGTAGTATGACCACCACCTTTTAGCCTCGGTGTGTGCTCAATAGTTGGTTTCATTTCCCCAAATAATACCATCAACAATTCTTTTTTTAAAATGTAAGATGGGGTCTTGCTCTGTCACCCAGGCTGGAGTGTAGTGGCGTGATCTCGGCTCACTTCAGCCTCCGCCACCTGGGTTCAAGTGATTCTTCTGCCTCAGCCTCCTGAGTAGCTGGGACTACAGGCACATGCCACCATGCCCGGCTAATTTTTGTATTTTTAGTAGAGACGGGGTTTCACCATATTGGCCAGGATAGTCTCGAACTCCTGACCTCATGATCCGCCCACCTCGGCCTCTCAAAGTGCTGGGATTACAGGTGTGAGCCACTGCACCCGGCCCTAACAACTCTTATAACCAAGATTTTAATATCATTTTACACTTTCTGTACTAGTTCCTCATACATTACCTCATTTAATCCTCAGAACAGCCCTTCGAAGTCAAATATTATGTTTTGTTTTGTTTTAGACAGAGTCTCACTCTGTTACCCAGGCTGAAGTGCAGTGGTGTGCTCTCAGCTCACTGCAGCCTCCACTCCAGGTTCAAGTGATTCCCCCACCTTAGCCCCCCAAATAGCTGGGACCACAAACACATGCCACCACGCCCAGCTAAGACTTTGTATTTTTGGTAGAGGCAAGGTTTCACCATGTTGCCCAGGCTGATCTCGAACTCCTGAGCTCAAGCAATCTGCCCCGCCTCGGCCTCCTGAAATGATGCTATCACAGGCGTGAACCAGCTTGCTGCTTCTTCTAATAGGGGAACTGAGGCTTGCAGAGATTATATAATTTACTTGCAATGTATCAAAGCATTTTATTTATTTTTATTTATTTATTTATTTTCTGGAGACAGGGTCTTGCTATGCTGCCCAGGCTGGAGTGCAGTGGTGTGATCATAGCTTATCACAGCGCTGAACTTCTGGGGTGAAACAATCCTCCCACCTCAGCCTCCTGGGTAGCTGGGATTACAGGTACGCACCACTGCATCCGACAGCGTCACAGCATTTTATTCCTCTGCATCAACATCATTTTCTGAAACTAGTGGAGGTTTTATTTATTTATTTATTGAGACATAATTATTATTATGTCTCAATAAATAGTCTCTCTGTATCTCTATATATATATATATAGATAATATATATCGCTCTCTCTCTATATATATATAACATATATATCATATATATATATATATAGAGAGAGAGAGAGAGAGATTGAGAGAGAGAGAGAGAGGGAGAGAGACAGACTTCAAGCAATTCTCATGCCTCAGCCTCCCAAGTAGCTGGGACCGCAGGTGCCCACCATCACACCTGGCTAAAATTTTGTATTTTGTATATGTATGTGTGTATATATATATACATAAAGAGAGAAAGAGAGAGAGAGAGAGAGCGCACGCGCGCTGAAGTTTTTACCACCTGGTTTTCTGAGATCTAAAACTAGGGATTGTCTAAAAAAAAAAAATAGGCTGGGCATGGTGGCTTACGCCTATAATCCCAGTACTTTGGGAGGCCGAGGCAGGTGGATCACGAGTTCAGGAGTTCGAGACCAGCCCACCTGACCAAGATGGTGAAACCCTGTCTCTACCAAAAATACAAAAATTAGCTGGGTGCGGTGGTGGGCACCTGTAATCCCAGCTACCAGGGAGGTTGAGGCAGGAGAATCGCTTGAACCTGGGAGGCAGAGGTTGCAGTGAGCCAAGATCATGCCACTGCAGTCTAGCCTGGGTAACAGAGCAAGACTATATCTCAAAAGAAAAATAATAAATA